GTATTGATAAATAGTAGGGAAAAATATTGATGAATAGTGAGGAAATATTGATAAACATTGGGAAATATTGATAGTGTTGATAAATAGTAGGGAAATATTGGTAATATTGACAAATAGTGGGAAAATGTTGGTAGTGTTGATAAACAGTGGGAAATATTGATAGTATTGATAAATAGTGGGAAAAATATTGATGAATAGTGAGGAAATATTGATAAACATTGGGAAATATTGATAGTATTGATAAACAGTGGGAAATATTGATAGTATTGATAAATAGTAGGGAAATATTGGCAATATTGACAAATAGTGGGAAAATGTTGGTAGTGTTGGTAAACAGTGGGAAAAAGTATTGATGAATAGTGAGGAAATATTGATAAACATTGAGAAAATATTGATAGTATTGATAAACAGTGGGAAATATTGATAGTATTGATAAATAGTAGGGAAATATTGGTAATATTGACAAATAGTGGGAAAATGTTGATAGTGTTGGTAAATAGTGGGGAAGTATTGAGAAATAGTGGGGAAATGTTGATAAATGGGAAAATATTGATTAATAGTGGGGTAATGTTGGTAGTATTGATGAATAGGGGGGGAAATATAGTATTGGGAAATAGTGGGGAAGTATTGATAAGTAGTGGGGAAATATTGATTAATAGTGGGGAAATATTGGTAGTATTGATAAGTAGTGGGAAAATGTTGGTAAATAGTGGGAAAATATTGATAGTATTGGCAAATAGTGGGAAAATATTGGCAAATAGTGGGGAAATATTGGTAAATAATGAGGAAATGTCGGTAAATAGTGGGGAAATGTTGAGAAATGATAGGAAAATATTGATAAATAGTGGAGAAATATTGATAGTATTGATAAATAATGGGGGAATACTGATAAACAGTGGGGTTTTTTTGGTGTGGGGTTTTTTTTGGTGTGGATTCTTTTGGTGTGGGGTGTTTTTGGGACAATCCCAGGTTGGACTGGCAGAATTCCAGGCAATCCCTGCTGTGTTTTCCAGGTGGTTCCCAAGCTGCCCCTGCTGAGGATCCTGAGGGCTGCGGGGGCCCAGGGCGACTCCTTCACGCTCAAAGAGGTGATTTGGGATTTGGGATTTGGGATTCCTCCTTAATTCCCCGGGGAATGTTCCCATCTCACCTGCAGGGGCACCTTGGGGTCATTTTGGGTCAATCCCAAATCCCAGGAATCCATCCCAGAACGTGCTGTCCCCACAGGTGATCCCACATCCCAGGAAATCCCAAATCCCAGGAATCCATGCCAGAACGTGCTGTCCCCACAGGTGATCCCAAATGCCAGGGAATGAATCCCAAATGCCAGGAATCCCCAGGGAATGGATCCCAAATCCCCAGGGAATGGATCCCAAATCCAGGGAATGAATCCCAAATCCCCGCCGCACTGTCCCGCAGGTGATCCCAGGGAATGATCCCCACATTCCTGGAAACCCCAAATCCCCAGGAATGAATCCCAAATCCCCGGGAGTGAATCCCAAATCCCAGAATGACCCCCATCCCGCTGTCCCACAGGTGATCCCAAATTCCCGGGAATGACCCCCAAATCCCAGAATGACCCCAAATTCCCCCCGCAGGTGACCCCAAACCCCGGGAGTGATCCCAAACCCCAGGAGTGACCCCAAATCCCGGGAATGACCCCCAATCCCGGGAATGACCCCCCATTCCCGCTGTCCCGCAGGTGATCCCAGACCCCAGGAGTGACCCCAAATCCCGGGAATGGCCCCAAATCCCGGGAGTGACCCCCCATTCCCGCTGTCCCACAGGTGATCCCAGACCCCAGAAGTGACCCCAAATCCCCGGGAATGGCCCCAAACCCCGGGAATGACCCCAAATCCCAGGAATGACCCCCATTCCCGCTGTCCCGCAGGTGATCCCAAATCCCGGGAATGACCCCCAAATCCCGGGAATTACCCCAAATCCCGGGAGTGACCCCCTTCCCGCTGTCCCGCAGGTGATCCCAGACCCCAGGAGTGACCCCAAATCCCAGGAGTGACCCCAAACCCCGGGAATGACCCCCAAACCCCGGGAATGACCCCAAATCCCGGGAATGACCCCCATTCCCGCTGTCCCGCAGGTGATCCCAGACCCCGGGAATGACCCCAAATCCCGGGAGTGACCCCAAACCCCGGGAATGACCCCAAATCCCAGGAATGACCCCCAAATCCCGGGAATGACCCCCAAATCCCAGGAATGGCCCCAAATCCCGGGAGTGACCCCCAAACCCCGGGAATGACCCCCAAATCCCGGGAATGGCCCCAAATTCAGGGAATGACCCCATTCCCGCTGTCCCGCAGGTGATCCCAGACCCCAGGGCTGACCCCCAAATCCCGGCAATGATCCCAAATCCCGGGAATGACCCCAAATCCCGGGAGTGACCCCCTTCCCGCTGTCCCGCAGGTGATCCCAGACCCCGGGAATGGCCCCCAAACCCCGGGAATGACCCCCCAATCCCGGGAGTGACCCCATTCCCGCTGTCCCGCAGGTGATCCCAGACCCCAGGAGTGATCCCAAATCCCGGGAATGACCCCCAGACCCCGGGAATGACCCCAAATCCCGGGAATGACCCCCATTCCCGCTGTCCCGCAGGTGATCCCAAATCCCGGGAATGATCCCAAATCCCGGGAATTACCCCAAATCCCGGGAGTGACCCCCTTCCCGCTGTCCCGCAGGTGATCCCAAATCCCGGGAATTACCCCAAATCCCGGGAGTGACCCCAAATCCCGGGAGTGACCCCCTTCCCGCTGTCCCGCAGGTGATCCCAAATCCCGGCAATGATCCCAAATCCCGGGAATG